AATATGTAAAATCTACAGATAATATAATTAAAACTCTTTTTATAAACTATAAATAAAATTAATTGCAAGTCAATTAACGGGAGAGAAAATCCAAAAAATTGTAAGGTGTATCGATCAAAAAACAATTCCTGTTCTCGTTAGTACGCTTGAATAGTATTTTAGCACATACACCAAAGAATTATTTATACATTTTAAGCTTCGAAATTGTGAAGTACAATTTCAGATTTTTAAATTTAAATAATAAATAAGTAAGTCTCAAATAACGCATCTCCAGAGCTCAACAAAGGACGATGAGGAAAAGGGCAAACATGGCTTCTGGGAAATGGACCATAACAAATCACAAGAAAACCAAATCGACCACACCTGACATCCCTTTCTCGCAAGAGAATTGCTAAGAAAATAAGGGGCTCTAACTAGCAGACTAGGTCAGAATCAGAAAGCACCGTGACAAAAGTATTCAGAATTGTGGTAGCACACACACACCATCCTGTTATACTCAACTAGATCGGGCTCAAGCATTGACATACACTGTTTATTTCAAAAATAATTCAGGAATGCTTTTAGTTGTTTTTGTAAAACGTTTCATTTAATACTTTTTCATATAGGACAATTGTTAAATGAAATAATTTCGAAAATAGTTTAAAAAGTTTCATGAAAAGTCTTGAAATCATGAAATTTTTCTTCTTCTTCTTCTGGTAGCACTACAACCCGGGGTGGGTCTTGGCTGACTGCACAACCTGCTTCCATCTCGAACGGTCGTCCATGATGTTTAAGTCAGTGGGTAGCCCCATTGTTCTCAAATCTGACCATATATTATCTCTCCATCGCATTCGTGGACGTCCTAAGTGCCTTCTCCCTGTCGGAACTTCTTCCCAGATTAACTTGGTAAGGCGGTTATTAGGGAGCCTATGAACATGGCCAGCCCATCTTAGACGTTGGGATTTAATCTTTGGACTACGTCGCTAGCACTATACATTTGTTTGACCTCGCTATACATGAAATTTTTGGTTAAATATATTTTGAAAATTTTTTATGTTTGAAAAAGTTTTAATTGAAAATTTTTCGTAAATTTTTGAGCAGGAAAATAGTATAATAAAATATACGTTGAACAAACCTATTTTTAATTCAAAGTTATAAATAGTACATTGTTTACCGGGTAGGAAAAGCTTAACATTCCTGGACGACTGTGAAGATTGCTAAGTCGAGGCGTAAGCCGAGACTTAGCAACACAGAGTCCAGGAATGTGGCTTTTCCTACGAGGTAAACATACTATTTTTCCGCAAATCGTTTAAATTTCGACAGATATTGATTGATTTAAAAAAAAACGCGATTACGCGAACTTGGGTTACTATGGAAACGTATTGAGGTTGAATTGTCAAAATTGACAATTATTTATGTAGAACACTAACAACTGTACGGAAATATCATTTCCTTACAGTAAGGAAGTCCTGACTTTTTCTTCAAGAAATTTTGACAGGAATGTCAAAATTTCCTGGCGATTTGCGGAAAATTGTATTTACGTGCAATAAAAAAATTTACACGCTGTTAGCAGAATACACAGCAGAATTTAAACGCTGTTAGAGGACAGAATTAGCAATACTCAATTTGGGTTTGGGAGTGGCTTGGGTACAAGAGAAGCCTTGTTTAGTGTACAGGTGCTAGTACAGAGATGTAGAGATATAAATCAAAATGTGTACATTTGTGCAATCAAAAAATATTTAAGGAAGCCTTAATGGAGACAACCGAAGGTATTATTGTGAATGGAGTAACCGTCAACAATATTAGATATGCCGACGTAACCTTAGTCCTTGCTAATTGCGGAGAAGACCTTCAAAATCTAATGAACAAAATAAAACAGACTTGTGATCAGTATGGATTAAAACTCAACGGTAAGAAAACTAAATATATGATAGTTAGCAAACAAAATTATATACAGGATGACGGTATAAAAGTCGGGAGATGCCACACTGGACAGAGTAGAGAAACTCGTGTATCTCGGCAGTAATATCAATGAGACCTGGGATCCAACCGCATTAAAAGTCGAATAGAACAAGCCCGAGCTGCCTTTGTAAAAAATGAGAAACGTACTTTGCCGTCACGATCTTAGCATTGACCTTAGAGTTCGAATGACATCTTGCTACATCTTTCCTGTCTTGCTGTATGGAGTGGAAGCGTGGACTCTAACTGACGCTATCCTTAAACGCTTGACAGCCTTTGAGATGTGGGTATACAGACGACTACTGAAAATAAGCTGGGTCGACAGAGTTAGACATGAGGAGGTCCTTAGACGGCTGAACCAAACAACACAACTGGTCAATATAATAAAGAAACGCAAGCTGGAATACTTCGGTCACATTATGAGACACCCTGAAAAATATGATCTTTTACATCTGGTCATTCAGGGAAAGATCCAATGTAGTCTTGGTCCAGGTAGAAGAAGAACATCATGGCTGTAAAATCTAAGGCAATGGTATGGAAAATCAATTACATCGTTATTTAGAGCTGCTCTCAATAAAGACATTTAAAAAATTAAAAAGTACCCAGAGAATATGGTATAGTGTGAAAGTTAGTAAGGTGGAGAAGTTTTCTTCCAAAAAAATTCAAAGTATATTCAACTTATGTCTGTATGACATAAAATTAATAGCGAATTAATTCCAAGCGATTGGAACAACGTCTTAATGATATTAATCTATAAAAAAAGAAGATATACAGAAATCGAAAACTATATACCTATAAGCCTCTTCTCCCATTTGTATATTTTTTTAACACAATAATCACTTTTAGACTAGAAAATAAACTGAACGTATATCAACCAATACAACAAGCCAATTTTCGCTGAGATTTCCGTACAAATGGTCATCTTTAGCAATAAAACCATTAATGGAGAATATCATAGAATACATGCCACTAGTACTAGCTTTTGTTGATTTCCAAAAGACTTTAGATACGGTAGAATGAAACGGAATAATCAGTGCTTAACTCAGTGTCATGTCGACTGTAGATACACCCGCTTTATTTATAACATCTATAAAAAATCAACAGCAAGTGTGCAACTCCATGAATAAGTAACCAGTTCCCATTGAGATGTGTTAGACAAGGGGACACGAAGTCACCCTAGCTTTCCAGAGCAGTTTTGGAATATGCTTTCAAAAAACTCAATTGGCACAAAGCCGGCATAAATATCGACGGAAACATGCTTAACAACCTTCGATTTGCCGACGATATTTTCATTATTATCGATGATTTATACAAAGCAGAAGTAAGTACTAAACTTTTACAGACAATCAAAGAAGTCGGATTGCAAATAAAGAAAAATAAAACAAATTTTATAACAAACTTGTACATCGGAGGAACAATAAAATTAAAAAACAACACAATAGTAGAGATTACACAATACAGATATCTTGCCAAGACTTAAAAAACACCAAAGACAACCAGGCAGAAATTGGTCAAAGAAAAATTGGCATATATTAAGCTGCATATGACAGATATAATAGTGAAATCCCTATGAACCTTTAGAGAAAGCTATAGCATCTAATTACGCGTCCAGTTCCTAACGCTCATTAAAAATAATGCCAATAAACTGAGAATTGTAGATAGGCAAATGGAAAGATCAGTATTAGTAATTAAATTTATATATCGCCTTAACAACGAAGAGGTTCGTAGAAAAACCGGAATAGGAGACATAATAGAAAAAATATCGAAAAAACATTGAAGGCAAAAGGGCCCCTGGATGAAGAATATGCCGCCTTGCTAACCTGAGAGTATCGTATAGAAAGACCTCAACACAGCTATTCCGTATAGCAACCAACAAAGTTATCAGACACGTTCGGAACGGACAGGCACCCTAAGAAGAAAGACATGTAGCATAGCTCAGCGATGATAGATAGATCAAGATATTATTGGAATTTTGATCCTGTGAAGATCCTGTGAAGTTCATCACGTCGGGGAAGACCTCCAACGTGATGGACAGACGACATGGGGATAATAGAGCTTAATTGGATGCAACATTCGCAAAATACTGTCCTAGAGGCGTATGGAGGAGAATTATATCCAAGAGTAGATGCGGGAAGCAATAGACAATATATATAATAGAAGAAATAGACAATATGTGCTGCGAAAAATATAAAATACTACCATCTACAGTAGTAGGTGTTACATATATCTAAACAGTGTCAACGCTGATTACCATTATGAATGAACTAGGGAATAATAACGGGGTCGTTTCTAGTTGCCTTTCCCATTGCAGTACCAACCATTTAAACTGCTTCAGTCGTGCTCGTAGTAGTCCAGTTTCAAGCTGATCCTTGATCATATAGTCTGCGTTTCTAGCTGGTACAGATGATCGCTGCTGCCCTTATCAGGGAGATAAACTAGAATAAACTAGATTTTGGAAGGATAAAGGGATGGGACATGTTTTCTCTCAGTTAGGAGTTGAGAGTAAAGCATGGCAGGCGTGGGCGTAACTATATCGGCTATGAGCAAAGAAATAAGAATACAGAACCGCCTTCTATAAACTAAAGAAAATTCTCCTTAATAGAGATATTATAATTAAAATCAGATTAATATTCTGCTACATATTTTCCACATTTTTATATGGCATGGAGAGTTTAACTCTTACGGAAACACTGATAAAAATATTGGAGGCCTTTGATATGTGGATTTACTGACGAATATTGCGGATAAGTTGGGTTGATCGAATAAGAAATTAAATAGTTTTATACCGAATGAAAAAAAGCACAGAAATAATAAAAACAATAAAAATTCAAAAGTTAAAATATTTTGGCCATGTAATGCGACATCCAAAAAGGTATAACGTTCTGCACCTCATAATACAGGCAAGATTGCCGGAAGAAGCGATCAATTTAATAAACATAAGAATCAATTTCGTCTTTTCCGTTAAAAGGTTAAGTAGTTGTTTAACCCATTTTTCAACATTTTTACCTTCTATTGGATGGATTATTATTTTTAAATATATTTAAACTTAATTTTATTTTTAGGGCTCTCGGCGGAGACCTGTAAGAGCTGTCTTGCACGTTAGTGGCGATGGTCTTAGAGTTGTCGAAGAAGAAACCAAAGGTTTAATAGTCGACCAAACGATAGAAAAAGTATCTTTTTGTGCACCTGATAGAAATCACGAACGAGGATTTAGCTATATCTGTAGAGATGGTACTACGAGAAGGTGGATGTGTCATGGCTTCCTGGCTTTGAGAGAAAGCGGCGAAAGACTATCGCATGCAGTGGGATGTGCTTTTTCCGTTTGTTTAGAAAGGTATGTTCAGGCTTCTCGATACCAAATAAAACTGTTTTTGTTAACATCATAACTTTTCAATTTTGAGCTTTAAATGTAAATCACGTATCTGTTTATTAGTTAGAGCTATTGAAAAAAAAAACATAATAGAGTAGTCTCTGGAATAAAAATACCAGATTGTAGCTACTCCTACCATAGACATATAATACCTAAACAGAGCGCTACAATATAGACCCGTTCCTCGTTCTCCAGTGCCATAGATACAAAAGATGCAAAGCGGTCTCTGCATCTCTTACTACTATCAAACACAAATGAAATAGCAACTTAAATGTCATTGGCTGTAACAAGTCGACTGGTAGCTACGCGGTATTGTTTCTGCTTTTTGAATTGGATAATCAGAGTTCGAATCTTCCACTGATTTTTTCCTTTTTTTTAAAGCTGTAAATTAAGAAACAAATGAAAAAATAAGAATGAGAAATAATTATTTGTTATTAAGTATTTAAAATCAATAATTGAAATATTGTTTGTGGCTTTTAATATTGTAATGATTTTTTTTTCGAACTATTTTGTATCTATTTTCTGAATTTTTTCATTTTGTTTATTAAAAGAAATAAAAGTAATTGTAGTGTAAAAATAATTGTTCTCACATAAAAAGCTTTTAATTATTAAAGATATGTCTAAAGATATATATACATGACTAAAGACATGTTTAAAGATATATACACACGTTCATTATTTGCAAGGGTTACTTATAGATTTAGTAATATCTAATAAACGTAATATTGATTATTATTAAGTTTATATATAAAAAAAGAAAAATCAGTAGAATATTCGAAACCCGGTTATTAAGGTTCAAAAGCAGAAACAATGCTGCGTAGCTATCACCCGACTTATATTATTGACTTATTACCCATTATATTTAAGCTACCTCACTTCTTTTTGGTAGTGGGAAGGTCATGTGATCAATAAACCCCACCCATTACAAAGAAATGCAGGACCTGCTTTGCATTTTTTTTCTGACTGAACGATCTATATTGCAGCAGTCAATGTAGGTATTATATGTCTAAAACTTGCTCAGACTGACATACCTGACCTATCTGATCGTTTACCATTTTTTAATAAATTTGAATACAATCTTGTTTGTAAAAAATGTCCATATTGACAACTATGGTGACATAAATGTCACGCACTGACATGTAGGATTTAAAAATATGTTGTAAATCTGAAATGCCACATTGTAGCATTTAAATGTAAAATCCACAATCTACTTAATTAAGATTTTTTTTCGATGTCTTCGTACTTCTAGAACGTTAACAACAAACTTAAAAATTGAAAAATCAGATCTGCAAATGAAGCAAAAATAGTAGTAACCTCACGAATACTTGAGTCTTCCCACTATTCAGAAAAAAAAAATAATTTTCATTTAATAAAATTAAATTTGCTGATTTACTTCTTCCAGATATGGGAGAAGTGGGAGGTATGGGGCAAGGGAGGTGCGGGACATTTCAAGTTTTTCACCTTTTTATGTGAACTATCAGTTCTGTTCGTTTAGTGTTGGAGAAGCACATATGTGTTGTGTTTAATTTAATTTTCATTATCGATTTTCATTCTTGAAAGGTAAGAATTTAACTTGTTCATAATTTAATTTTTCTGATTGTTATAATATTTCAAGGCAATATAGAAACAAATATAATGATAGGCTTTATTTAAAGTTTGTAAATTATGTAATACAAACCTCTGGAGCACCTTGAGCTTACCTTTGTTCACTTATTTATTGTATAATGCTCCATTGGGAGGAATGGTACATAACATGCGTGGCAGGTCTGGGATATTGTCCCAGACCTCCCCTGTAGCATTAATTTTAATTTATTTCTAATGATATATTTTCGCCCTGTTATAGTGTAAGAAGCCTCGTAAGTGGAAGAAGAAAACTCTGAGAGAACTGCTCCAATAAATTGTGGACTGTGGAAGCCATTCAACAGATTAAAGAGGGGAACAGCTTAAAGCAGTGGGCAAAGACTTTAAAGAACTGCGTTGGACAAAGACTTCCAAGACCTTAGTCTGCTACTTTTTCTAACATGTAATGATGTTCCACATAACCCAAACATCAGAACGGGGACTCATAGTGCTCCCGGAATGTTTTACCTCAGAAGATGCCATCAGTTGTGCCAATGATTAACTAATAACAATTTTTAATATATTTGTACGAAAATATCTAGTTAAAAACCAGTTATACCTATCATCTTAGCGATCAGCAACGAATGTGTTAATAATTAAAAAAAAATACAAAAAATTATAATTATTACAAATTAAGCAAATTTTTGCAGATTGTATAGTTTCTAAATTAAATTAACAAAACGTAATATAGGCTGATTCGAAAGATGAAATGGGTGAGATAAGACTCTGGTTCAAAAAAGATAAGCTTTATTATGAGTTTATTTTTGTACAATAAAAGAAGAAATATATCTCTAATAAACAAAACAATGTCGAAACTATTCGATTATGTCCTCAAACATATAATTCAGTAAGTAAATTATGTAATATTTAGAATTTTAGTATGTGATTATGTATATAATGTTATTGTTTAATGTTAGATTTTTTATTTTTTAAGAAGACAGATTTCCATCATTAAATATTTATATCTCTATGATATATAAATAATTATGTTTAATTAAATTTATATCTGGAGATAATAACTGGCCTTGTAGAACCACAAACTCTTATGACGTAATTAATTAATCATTTTAGATGAGCAAATTTTATCAAAACTGGAGGAATCCTTTAAAAAAATTAGGAAACGTCTGTTTAGAAACACAGCTATTCAACAAATTACGGATTTGTGACATTTTAGAATTTTTACTTAAAATCTGGAAATTTTGGAATGGAAAATATCAAACTAAACCAAAATCAGATCCACAAACATATCGACCGATATCACTCACGTATAACGTAGGTAAAATATTAGAAAAGATAATAAACAATAGGCTTATGTGGTATTTAGAATCAAACAACTTAATTATTCCAGAACTATGTGGTTTCCGAAAACATCGCTCAACTCTAGACAACCTCGTTGACTTAGAATCAGAAATCCACGAAGCATTTGATATAAAACAACATTTTGTTCGAATATTTTTTGATATAAGCAAAGCATATGATACAGTTTGGAAATATTCAATCATTAAAACACTCAGCAACTGGTTAATAAGGGGTAACATATTAAAATACATTTCAAATTTTCTTGAAAATAGACAATTTCAAGTTCGAGTTGACGGAACATATTCTCAAACAAAAATTCAACAAAATGGTATACCACAAGGATCAAATTTAAGCACAACTTTATTCTTAGTAGCAATAAATTCGATATTAACAGAAATTGAAAACCCCGTCAAAGCTAGATTATACGCTGACGACTTAGTTATTTTCTGTAGAGGAAAAAACATAGCAACGATTTACAATCACATTCAAAACGCGTTAACACCATTGAGAAATGGTCAGCTACAAGTGGACTTCAGTTTAACACTTCGAAAACGAAAGCAATCTGTTTCTCAAAGAGAAATCAAATCCAAACAAAAGAATTATATCTACACGAACAAAAACTAGATTATGTAAAAGAAATCAAATTCTTGGGTATGACGTTTGATAAAAAATTAACTTGGAAGACACATATTCAAAAGCTGAAAAAATCCTGTCTACCTGGTATAAACTTACTACGATCACTTGCCTTTAAAAACTGTGGTGCCGATTATTCAAGTTTAATACTTATTTACAAATCCATAATTCGATCAAAACTTGACTATGGAGCCATCGTCTACAATTCCTCCAAAAAGACACATTTGAAGATACTGGATATTATCCAAATTAGATGTCTACGTATTTCTTTAGGTGCTCACTATACAAGTCCCATTCAAAGTCTCTATTGGGAAAGTGGAGAAATTCCTCTTTCTTTCAGAAGACAATATCTAAGCCTAACATATGCAGCAGCAATGTCATTAAACCGAAATAATCCAGTACTGCATAACGTTTTTGCTGATCGATTTACAAATAAATTTCAACAAACACATCAAATTGATCATCCTTTTTACTTTCGTATACAATCATACTTATCCAAATTAAATTTTCAATTTCCAAAAACCTATGATACCTCATCAATCCACAACCCTGCACCATGGACAATATCTATTCCTGCTATCGACATCAGTCTAACAAACCTAAGAAATTCAGAGATATCATCAACCGTCATTAAACAAAAGTTTCATACACTATTAAACAGATATGGCAATACCTACAACGTATACACCGATGCGTCAAAAAATGAAGACATAGTTGGAGCAGCAATTTATTCGGAAGACACCTCAGTTAGTTTCAAATTGCCATCAATGACAAGCATCTTTGCGGCTGAATTATTCGCAATTCTAAAAGCACTATCATTAATACAAAACAAAAACAAAGAAAGATGTATAATAACCACAGATTCTCTAAGTTCATTATCCTCACTTACTCAATTATACTGTGACAACCCCTTCTACTTCTTATTAAAAAAGAACTTAAACACATTTCTAATAAGAACATCCAAGTGCACTTTTTATGGGTGCCTTCTCATGTAGGAATTGAAAGTAACAAAGCTGTAGATAAACTAGCTAAAAATGCACCAACTAACCCGATGTCCGAAGAAAGTAACATATTGGTACAAAACGATTTAAAACCATACTTAAAACAAAAAATAATTCAAAAATGGTAACAAACTTGGAACAACACTCCATCAAGGCTATACGAAGTCAACAAACACCCACATCTTTGGAAACCAACAATAAAAGACAGAAGAAAGCAAGTGATACTTACCCGTCTCCGTATCGGCCATACACGACTTACTCATGACTATTTATTACAGTGCAAAAACAAATCAGTGTGAGAGTGTGCAACAGTGTTCTAACGGTAAAACATTTTTTAATAGAGTGTCCCAAATATAACAGTGAACGACTCAAATATAGCATACCCAACTCCCTAAGAGCTGCCCTAGAAGAAAATACAGATAACCGAAAAATATTTTCCTATATTAAAGACTGTCAACTTCTTCAAAAGATCTAAAACGTACATTTTAACACACATACATATTATTATTATTATAATTATTATTGTAAACTAATGTATTCTATCAACTGCCACATATGTTACATAATCTAAATACGCTAATGACCCTGCGTGGTTGATGCGTTAATAAAAAAAAATATTCATAAGAATAATAAGTACTCTTAGTACCTTAGTCTTAAGAAGATACCTATTATTCTCCCTACTACTGGAATACCTACGGCTTAATAGCTCGGAAAGAGCCCATCCAGAGCTTTTAATACCTTAGGTATCAGGGATACGTGAATTTTCCACTTAGAGGTAGTGAGAGTAGTATGGCTTTAGTCTGCATAATAATAATAACCAGTAGGGATTTTTGTCAGTTCTTCTATCAGGCGGGGTCCCCTACGAATGGGGATGCCCTCTGGGTATTCCTAGTGCCGACAGCTTGTCGGATGTCTTCAGGGTACGTCTGGAGCCGGTGCTGCACGCGAGGGCACGCAGAATCTGTTTGCTGAATTTTGCATTAAGTACCCAGAGACCCAATTCATCACAAAGACTAAACGCGATACCATTAGAAGCGAAGTCGAACGGGAGATTTACAACCAAGAGGCAGTTGTAGATCAAGTCCCCAATGAAATACATGAATAGATTCCTAACCTTGCCATATAGAAAACCTAACCTGATAATACGTAGCAGAACAACAATGAGTTGCACGATAGCCTGATAAACGAAATGGTTCGTGCACTGGATTAATTGTACCCAGGGAAAAATGGCTGCTAAGAAAGAATTAACTATTCTTCTTCATGTACCATGTCCTTTCAGAACGTTGGTTACCATCATAGCTATTTTAATTTTATTCACTGCCACCCTAAATAGCATGCTTGTATCTACACCATACCAATCTCGCAAGTTCTTCAACCATGAGGTTCTTGCTGAGACGTTCAAGTATTGTGGAGTTACGAATCTTCTCCACCCAGGAAACTTTTAAAATTCTTCTATAGCACCACATTTCGAAAGCCTCAAGGCGATTTAGATCGATTTTATTCACAGTCCAGGACTCGACAGCATAAAGTAAGACTGAGAACACGTAGCAGCGAAGTAGGCGGATCCTTAATGCCAATTTTAGGTCTCTGTTACATAACACCTTGGACATCCTTCTAAAAGCAGCTCTAGCCTGCTCTATTCTGGATCTAATTTCGCCGTGATTTTCTGCATTACAATTTAATTGCTGTCCAAGGTAGACGATTTTATCAACATGCTCAAGTTTGGTATTATTTACATATATAGACGGTTTTATATTCTGTTGTTTACTTATTACAAGTATTTTGGTTTTCCTTATGTTAAGATCCAGACCTGCCTCCCTGCAACTCTCAACGACACTATCAAGTAGTGTTTGCAGATCTTCTTGACTAGAAGCTAGGAGTACTGTATCGTCCGCATATCGCAAATTATTGATGACTTCGCCGTTCACAAGTATTCCTTCTTGTTTTTCAGAAAGTGCTTTTCTGAAAATTCTTTCGGAGTAAACGTTAAAAAGCAGGTGTGACAAGAGGCATCCCTGCTGTACTCCTCTTTTAATATTGAGAGCTTGTGATTCCACACCATCTACTAAAACTGATGTTGTTTGATTCCAATATAATTTTGCAATTATTCGAACATCTCTGCCGTCCAAGCCAATGTCTTTTAGAGCTTCGATCAAATTAACTATTGCTTAGGAATTTTGGACAAATTAAAGAACACATCCTAGGCCGCATGGACATATATACAAATATAGTAACAACTGGAAATGCAACAATACACTTTTTAACCATTCAGAGACGTAGAGCTGTCGGCACTACAGTAATACTTCTACGAAACTTCAATCTTCACCACTCAAAGTCTCGAATATTATTAAAGTACTTAATAACTGGAAATCTTAATTTTTTTTTGTAGTTGAATGTTATCTGAAAAATGTAAATTCTGCAAAATTTTTCTAAATCTATTTCTCGACATTGCGATAATAGTTGGCGATTGCTTCATTTTTGAGATTCAAATCCTAACTGCAGTACATACATTTTCTAGACCTTTGAGAATAACCAGAAATCAGTAGGATCGCAAAGAATACTTTGAATTCTTTAATCGAAACCTTATGATTTGTTTGCTTTTTTGTGTCAGGCATACCTACTTTATAGTCTCCTCTTTTATCTATTCAAAGAAATTATCACACGAAAAAAGTATAAAGAAATCGATTTAATTTTCACAGTGAACATTATTTTGATTGTAAAATGAGATATTTTCTTGATATTTATCTTATCAGTTATTTTGTCTATTTGATTTATTCACTGTTTTATTAGATTGAGCAACGATTAAAATGAGATATTTTCTTGATATTTATCTTGGGGTAAGTCATCATTTTTCCAGTTATTTTGTCTATTTGATTAATTCAATATTGTATTAGATTAAGCAACGTTTATTGGAGGTTCATAATCGCTCGTCGAGAACATATTTTCAGCCTCCTGTGTTTCACATTGTGAAATAAGAGTTGCATTAGCTGGGGCGTTCGTATCCTTGATGAAAACTTATCAGAAAATTCATTAAAATTCACATCATACGCCGATGGAATACCCATATGGGAAACCAAAATATCGGAGAGCCCCACAAAAATCAAATGATGGATGTTAAAAGATAAGAAAGTAGAGTACTGCAATTTGAGATCCGGACTCAGTGCTTAGTTTTTATTTATTCTCATTAGTGTTGGAGCAGATAACAGGGTAACATTTCCTGCTGCTTAATGTATGATGATAATGTAGTGTTGGTAAGAAATATTAAAAGGAGTTTATAATAAAAGCTGGACCCGTAGAGCGATAATGTATATATAAAAATTGCCTTATGACCCTATTGTCCTAATCATTTATCATTCACTGATCAGAAATACAACGCTGAACGTCACTAGCATAAACTTAAACAAAGGTGGTTCATAGACGCTAATCAGCGTCATTAGATTTGTAATCATACTCATTATAGTACTTGAATTCCATATATTGAAAAGTAATAAAAAAAATGTATAACGAAAATAATATTTAAGTTGAATTTAGTTGACAATGATAAGGTGGCAAACTTAATACCGTTGTTCCTATTCTTTGTACCATTTCGTTAATGACTTATTTTTTAAAGTACTAATGTTGTCTTACAATTCGTAAAAATTCTGGTTTATGCATAGTGGTATCATCGCTATTATGTTGCGTTGGATCTAGGCAATAATATAAATTTTAAGTTTTCTCAAAACCCGTCTGTTTTAAGTTTTTTGACAGTTCTCTAATATTGCCTTTGTCAGCAAATAATTTCTTCTGTTCTCTTCTATCGTTCAATATGCGTAATTTCAAGTAATTTCCATAACGTACCTCAGCCAAAGTGACGAAAATTATCATCTGTAATTGTTTAAATTCATTGTTTAAATATAACGGAGGAACTTTTCTTCGAAGGACGTTTCTGTGAGAGACATCAATTTCCATTTATTAAGTATTTTCCTTCGTGTCATTAATGTTTTTTTGGCTCTACATTTTCTTGTTTTCTTTCACGTAAAAATCTGCACATGGTCCTTTCACGAACACCTGATATATCGGAGCACATATTCACTATATCCTTAACAGTTGTTGAAAATTGTTGAGGATTGAGTGACTCATAATGTTTAAATGTTTATAACAAATAGATTTTTATCACAAAGCATACGCGCCTTTTTTCATTTTAGGCTGGAGCAAATAAGAAAATTGATGAAATTTTTATACATGAACTGCTAAATTGTTACAGATAAACTGGCAATACCTACACTAACCTTATCATACATTTAATTTGTTATCCATTTTAGGTTGAAAATAAGTTATATCCTAATGATAATCTTAATGCATTTCATTTAAATACAGGTAATTATCTATAGAGAGACAGGGTCTGAAATCAGACAAGTACCTTTTCTTTATTAAAATCGATTTTAAACGGGAAGTAGAATATTACTTATATTTAATTAATTAGTAAAATAAGCCTAGATACAGGTTTTACATAAACATTTGTGGTTTACAAACTATAATAAATATATAGGGCATTATATTTAAAATACGGAAGTTTTTTAAATATATCCAAATATTATCCCTTACTTACTTGATAGTTATCGCCTGGCTAATTGGTCTTTGCCAAAGCCATCTAATTAAATAAAAAAAAAATACCTGATAGTGAATTAAATATATTCACTCACACCAGCTATGCTTTTCTTGCATACATATGTTTCAAAATTATCTTAAATTACTCATCATTACTGAAAAAATGCTTTTATAATTAATGTTATGCTTTACAATTGAAACTAATATACTCGTTTATTTTAGGAAACAAAAAAGAGATAAGGAATGTGGTGTTACCATGATGTTTGACGCTAAAAATAACACTTTCACTCGAAGTGGATCATTTAGACAACAAAGTTTAACAGAGAGATTGGATCGGGAGAGAGGTATAGACGTGGGTCCTACTAATTCAAAGCCACAACCACCAGTTAATCCTTTTGCCATTGAAAGACCTCATGCAACTCCCAGTATGCTACAAAGGCAGGGGAGTTGTAGAGGGTAAGTAAATTTTTTTGGCACCGTTATGAATATTATCCCTATAAGTACATAGTATTTTTCTAGTATGAATGTTATCTCGTGATTAATATTAGCTTAAGCTGGTTACTTCCAGTAAATCGGACCTTTACATTTTTTTTAGAAATTTAACTGGAATTTTGTTTATAGATATAATTGTAGTTCCAGCTGAGAATTCAGACAATGATTTTTATATCGGAAACGTCAATCTTCTTTGTTTGATTCCTCTCATTTTTTTTAATCTACGTTGCTCCCATAGGCGCACAATGTTATCTAATTTTTGGGAGTATCAGAGGTAAGTCTGATTCACAATGACTCCTCAAGTTATTATTAATGTTCCAATGTATCATTAAAGTCTTCTTGATTCTTGAATAATACAATACATTTTTTTATTAACAAACGCGTTTTATTCGTTTTTTTTTTTCACTCTGATGGTATCACAAATTTTCCTAAGGTAGAAAAGTATTTATCTATCAATCTAAAGCCCTTTTATATCAAAGTTTGGATATAGACCTCCCCTATGAGATCCATTTTCCTCCATTGCGATTTTCTTCCATTTTGAATCGGTATATCTCTTTAAATCATCTGCTCACCTCATCTGTGGTCTTCCTTTGGGTAGTTTTGAATCCCATGGTATCTACTGCAGCACTTGTTTGTTCCATCTATCGTCTTCTAACTAATGTTATTTCCTGCAAATTTCCACTTTATGTTTGTTGCTTTTTCGATGACATCTTTCGTAACATTCTGTATCCACTCGTTAGGTTTTCTGTCTTTCAAGCCTATTCCAAACATTCGCCTTTCTATCGCTCTCTGCATCGTCGCCAATTTATCCATGTTTGACCTTGTCATTGTCCATATTTGGCATCCGTATGTCATTATTGGTTCGACGTTTCTTCTCCACATTTTGTATTTCTATTGTGATATTCCTTGAGGTGTTACTCATTATTTTTGTTTTCTAATAGTTCATCCTAAAGACCGATCTTTCGTGCTTCTCCATGTAGTTGCAAAAGTATAATCTTTAACTCGTCACCATCACTTCCTACCAGGAAGACATAATCGGCGTAAATAGTTAAGATGTGTCCAATTTTTATTTTTTTCTCTTGCAAATTTAGGTATATAACACATCCCCTAGGTCTTGGTTAAACAGATTTGGTGATATTGTGACACTTTACCTTATTTCTCTGTTTAGTGTTATTGGATCCGTGAGTTCATGCATCTTAATTCGTGTTTGGTCTTCTAGTATATATTTTTAATAAGCTTAGTAAATCTGTGGTCTACGCAACTACTGTTTAGTGAGCATGCCAAGTGTTTCACACTATCGTAAGCTTTCTCAAAGTCTACAATAGCTGCATTTTTTCGATAAGTTTTTAATATACAAAAAGTATAGCGGGAATAAAGAAATGTTTGATGGACTTCTGTAAAACAGCCCAATTGTATAATATAGAAAACCAAACTATAAACATCCAGTTGTTGTTTTGTCTAATATATCTAGTGGTGTAAGTAATAATTGTTCGATTTTTTCCTTCATCCAATTTGTCGTAGTTATTTAGTATATCTACAAGATGTTATTTCCGCTGATACTTGCTTAGCAATAGTTTCATCCTAGGTGTGTATAGTGAAAACTTTGGTGTGTATAGTTAAAGTTGTAGGCAGGATAGTTGCCATTGAAAAGTGCCCGCAGTTGGACAAAATAACACCTGTTGCAGATCCACATCAAACGACCACATTTGGATTGACATTAGCAGTGTTATATACAATCAGTTTATAACGTTCTTCGCCGTTTTCTGATTTCCAGTTTCCATGATCTCGATCATTCAGAAGGCACTCTTCTATTTCTCTCGCTTTTATCTCCTTGTCTACTCCGTCCCTCCAATTTAATCTCGGTCTACTCTTCTTTCATCTTCCCCGCGATGTTCAGTTTAATATTTTTTTTGGGATTCTACGCGGATGACTGATGTATGGGGATACTGTTATTTAAGCAATCAAAACATTTTTGATAAATTAAGATCTGTAATATAACAAATTCTGATTGAAGTGTTTCATGTGCATATTTGATGACAAATTTTCCTGCATATTTGATGAAAAAAATATCTGTATTAATATCTATTAGATCAATAAGGCTTTCTCAAAGTTTTAAGCTTGATGCGATTCACTGGTGGTAATTATACTACCGTGCTGCGTTTTCCGTTCCCCCAACAATATTGATATCATTAGCATATGCTAGAATTTGCACAGATTTTTTATATATTGAACCGGTAGTTGTGATTTGTGACGTACGTATTTTGGTCAAGTAGTGAGTAATTTAGTAACTAAAATGGACTTTACTGCCCGAAAAGTCGTTCACACTTGTTCGAACAGTTTAGAAGTGAGTTCTGTTTTGCAAAATGAATAGCCTACAACGCAATAAAGTAAATAAACTGATTAAGCTAATCGTAATGGATCGACAGAGGAGATAAACTAGGAGATACCAATTGTCGTCTTAAGGAATTAGTATTGGAAAATCTCAAATAATACTTCGATAGTTTTAAAATGTCTTTCAAACATGAAAGTTATGTAAATTTTCTGTTATTACGGAAATACACTCTCAAATACAGCAGAAACAAAAAGAAAATAACAAAATTACAATTTACAAATTTCTGTACGAATTTTAAAGTTGTTTCTTTGCACCAAAGAAATGACATTTTTGCTAATGCGACTGGTGCTGACTTTTTTAGACGGTGAATCAGTCAGAACTAGTGCGTAATGGGAGATGCTACTCGCCAGAAAAATATAGAATTAAATGGATCGATTGTGCTAAATGACTTATTAATCGACTATTCAAAAAAGGAGAAAAAAAAACAGCCAGAAAACTGCAGAGGTATAAACTGTTAATAATCAGAGGATAAGTTTAGCCGATGAACAACACAGTTTTCGTAGTGGAAGATTGTGTACAGATGCAACATTCGTTATAAAGCAAATTACTGAGAAATAACTAGAGTATAATAGACCAGTATTTCTGTTTCTGATTGACCTAAAGAAAGCGTTTGACAGAGTAAGCCTTAAAGATGTAATCCATCTTCTGCATAATACAGAAGTTCACCTAAATATTATAAAAACTATCGAAAACATCTACCAAAACAACAAAATGGAAGTCAGAATAAATGGAGAACTTCTGAACTATGCTCTTCAATTTGATTATGACTGAAGTTATCAAAAGCGTTAACAAAGGAAGAGGATACAGAATGGGAAACAAAGAAATAAAAATACTCTGTTATGTACACGATGCAAGAGACGAAGATAGTCTGCAAAGACTGGTTCACAGATTTAACAAAAAAGTAAAATAATTAAATACTTATGACAAGCTCATCTTAGAAAACTAAAACAAGAGTAGTAGAAGTAAAATACCTGGGAATTACACTGTCTAGCTATGGAGACCTGGACAAAGAAGTGAGATCAATTACAAAAAGCAAATATACTGACAGGATGCCTTAATAACACCATATGATGAAACATATACATTAACACTGAGATGAATGGATACAAAATAGAAAAAAAAAAGAATGGAATAACCACTTAAACAGAATGGAGGAGATCCGTGTCGTCAAAAAGCAAGAGATAAGTCACCAATCGGCAGGAAAAGTATGGGACAACTACGCAAAAGATGGAGTGACAACCTTCACGTTCCCAAAGAAGACACGTTTAGTTACTAAGAGTAATTTAGTAACTAACATAGACACTACTGTCCAATAATCGTTTGTACTTGTTCGAGCACAGTTCATAAGTAAAATTATGTTTTGTAAGATGAACAGTCTAGAACGTAATAAAGTAAATAAACTGATTAAGCTAATCGTAACGACTATGTTAAAAAATACCGATGATTTAATTTGTGTGATTATGAACAAAACTGTGGATACGAAAATGGATCGATAGAAGATATAAACTAGTAGTTAACAATTGTCTTCTGAAGGAATTCACATTGGAATATCCCAAAGGGTACTTAACAACTAATGAACCCGACTAATTAGACTTGTTCGGAATTGTTTAGCCGATGAACCAGTGAGCACGGACGCGTGCGGTGGGAAGTGCTATTCTTCCGAAAAATATAGAATAGAATGGATCCACTCGACTAAATGACTATTCTACTAAATCTATTCGACTAAATTTTTGTTGTTTAGACACATTTAGTTTTTAAATCACTCACTGTTCGACTAAATAACTAGCCTAGTGCGAACTAGGCATAATCCTCATTTCCTAATCCATATAGGGATTTCATACATACATATGACTTTTTTAATGATTAATATACCGACTACACAGTAAAAAATTAAATTCAGAACGTAAGTTTGTATAATATTTGAAAATCAAAATACTTTTTAAAGTACTAAAAGTTAAAATAACATTAAAATCATAAGAATAGCATATTTCTTATCTGCCAATTTTAATATTATGGGCTAAGTATGTCTTATATTTTATACTTTATATTATTAATTTTGTATATGTCCTCATGAGAAGCGTGTATCCCACCCGTTTTGTTCTTTGTTGAACAGTATTTTTAATTTAGAACAGTCATAATGTATTTGTTATGACCAGGACGCATCTGGTTGAATGGCTTAAGGCTTTCCTTTATAACAAATTATAAAACATGTATTAATCATAAAAAAATTAATTTATAATATTTACAGTTTCAGCACGCTAGGGGAAAGTTCCCCATTTAAACGTCAGATGTCACTTCGGGTCAACGATCTCCCAAGTAACACCGCCCGTTTAAATTCCTACAAGTCACCAACTTCACCCACCGCCAATGGAAAGCCTCCAGTTTCACCAATACCAGAAGTTTCACCTGGCGATTCTGTCACTGCGTTATGCCAGCAACTTAGCCAGGGTTTAAGCCAATTGACGCACAGCGGGTCTGACGATTTCAACTTTAATAATCAAAGTTCTGTAAATCAGAACACGCTCAATGTTAACGTAACCACGATAAATAACAGTTTTAGGGCTTCTCCGAATGTGTTTACACCAGTCAGTCTCAACTTTAGTCCTAAAAATGAGGTTAATACTTCTACATCTTCAACCTCTACCCTTCCAAAGCCTGAACAGTGGTTGGAAATGGTTAAGTCTTCCTCCCCTACATTAGGAAAAATAGATGGTTCTACTCCAAGACGTACACCATCATTTAAAGCACAGTCGAGAGCTGTGTCGTTAGATACTGGATCAGACTCTTTTCAGAGTACTAAAGCAGACCCATTTGACGCTGAATGGGCCGAGCTGGCAGCTAGACAAGGAACAAATAGTACTAATCCATTTCTATCAAGCAGTACTACACCTAAGGCGTTTCAAATACAGCTGTAGTCTTCACATTTTGTTGTTTTTATAAATTTAGGAGCAGCTTATGTGAAGCTTGTTAATTTTTTAAGTTGAACTTTTGACATTTCATCCTAGGCTGGTCCTAGATGTCAGATTGTTAACTGATAAAGATTTTTGTTGAGTTTACGAATATTTTTATTTATATTTTATATCTTCTTTTGCATTATTGATAAAAATGTGGTGATATAAGTATACATCATAAATTAAAATTGTATCGCACTACATTTTTATCTATTGCGTCTAAAAGATGTGATTCATTCCAATATTTTTTGACTACTTTTAAATTTTAAGGTGGTTAAATTTTGCCAGGACTAGTCTGTGCAATGTGTACATAGTGGGGATGATATAGTATGGAGAGTGAAAGAAAAATTAGGTAGTATAGAAAAACATCCTTGTAACTGACTTTTCATTTTAAAAAATATTAAAATAACTTAGAAAATAATTATTAAATACATATATTGTCGTAAAATTTTATAGTGATGGCACTTTTGATTATACGAAATACGTTATGTATGTGAAAGAGATTATGTAATATCGTTATAGACTTAAGTTGTAGGGAAACGGCCACACAATTTTAAAATTTTTTAAAATAAAAAAGTCAAAATAATGCGTAATGTGCTATATAAATAAAAGAAGCTTGCATATGTGATGATTATATTCGAAGAAGAATATCAGGTTTAAGACAGATTAAAGACTTTTATATTTTACGTTATACGTAATGAAATATGCAGATATATAATTGTTCCTAAAAATTAAAAACTGATATTTCAGTTGGTTTCATAGAGTGCAATAATATAATACATCAGTGGAAATCCTTGCGTATGCTGATGATATTCATATTGTTGGAAGAATGGAAAACGCTGTACTAGAGACGTATGTAGCATTAAAAGAATTACCTACAAAGATGGGTTTAATCGAATCAGTGAACAAATTTTTATACTTGGGAGCGCTACTTAACACTGAAAATAATTTTACCGCAGAGATAAACCACAAAATGTGCACGGCCAACAGATGCTATTTTGGGCTCAATCTCCTCCTTAAATCCACAATTATATCGAGAAATACAAAACTAAAACTTTACAAAACAATAATACGCCCAGTTATAACATGATTGAGACACCTGTACTCTAACAAAAGTAATAAAAATATGTTAGGAAGTTTCAACAGTAAAGTACTAAGGCGAATCTATGGACCAGTGAAAGGCAATGGAATGTGGAGAAGACGATACAACTTTGAACTTTATAGAATATACCAGGAACCAGATATCGTAAAAAATATTAAGATATGACGTCTGAGGTGGATAGGGTATGTAATGCGTATGAATACGTTCTTGACGAAGCAAGGCGATGGACTGCAGGGTTTGTTAACCTTAGAACCAAAGACTTGATGAAAGACAAAACTAAAAACGAGCACTAGTGTTCAATAGTCTATTACTTTACTGATTTGGTGTATGAATGTTTGATTATTATAATAAGTGACTACCATTTCTACTACTATCATAAAATATTAAAACTTTTAAATATATCTGCATATTAATTGACTATACCGGTGTTGTTTATATTCTATTAAAAAGTCTGAAAATATCTTTATAAACTATGTAGTTAGATTTTGAACTACCTGTTATATAAATTTATACACGTGTATCAAAAATAGGCAGCTCAATCGTGGTATACCAATTTTTGCTTTGAGATTTATCAAGATATTGTTCAGTATTTGAGTGTTGTTTAATAAATGCGTTTTTCTTAATATCGAGTTCAAAGGATGTTGTCAGGATTAAGGGACTTATCTTACTAATTTTGTGCCTTTTATTAACATTACTACGTCTTCCCGTTTATTTATATCTAGCATTGCCATAAAAAATTGAATTTTTGTCTACAAATACTGAATATAACTTTCTCGGAAATAATTTATATGTTTCATACGTTTTGTTCTGCAATTCTAGTTAATCTTTTAAATTTTATTCGTTCTAAACTATAGCTAATCCATTATCTATAACTCCATATTCAACTTAAATGATATTTAATTTTTGAAAATGCAATTTTATTTTCAATCCCTAATATATTAGGAGCGGTAATCGCTCTTTTATAATATCTAAATAAACAGTACAATTTCAACTACGAAATTTAATATTAAAGCAATTACTATTTTATGTGTACTTTAAGTTCAATTTTACCATAAAAGCAAATTTAATACTTTAATATTTCTAATTCTTAAATATAAATTTGTTTTGAAGATTTCAATAGTATATAGTGAAGATACCATTTTGTTGTTCTCGTGCATTATCAAGGATGAGTGCAACACCAATGTGAAGTAAATAAAGTAGGCAATTATGGGGGTACATTTAAATTTTAATCATTTATTATTATTACTTTCACATGTCGGTATAATTAGGAACTTCGTCACAAAACCATCTTATAGAAAAGGTCACTACATTAAAATATGTCTTAAAATGTTATAAACTACTGTATGCATTCATTTACAGACACATTTAAAAACTTGCTAGGTCAAGGTTACATTTTGAAAAAATAAACATATACGCTGAGTTACCGTTGACTAATTGGGTCCCCTATCGTCGTTCATGGCTAAACAGTACAAAATTTAAAATTTTGGCTAAATTGTTAGAATTGAGCCCTATATTTTTTGCATGTTTTTGATTTGCATTGTATTTCCATTCATTGCCAGTATATTGTCATTTTCAAAAACTATAAAGGTCTTCTATACCGAAGTTTTGCAGTTTAGAAGTAATTTTCAATTGTTAATTGATGTTTAAATAAATATTTGAAATTATGTTTCTTATGTCTATTTATGTCATCTATTTAAATATACTGATGGCCCAAAAAGTGCGACACCTAGAACGACATATTTTAAAAAATAATTATTCATGGAAGTATACATTATATTATTATTTGATAACATTATAATCAAATTTCCAACGTAATATTTGTCAAAAAATTAATATTGAGTGGCTCCTCCTTGATTTTCTATACACTCAGTTAGTCTATGGGGCATTAATTGAATTAAATGGTATATCATATTACGGAATACTTATCCAGATTCTTTTTATGGCATGCCTCATATCTTCTAAGTTTGCCGGAGGACGTGACAATCGATTTAGCCTTTGACGTACTATATCTCACATATGTTCGATGGATGACAAATCAGTCAATCTTGATGATTCCAAAGTCTCTATACTAGATTCTTGTATGAACTTAATGGTTTCACGGGCAATATGAGATCTTGTATTATCCTGATGAAAGATCGTATTTGAAATGGTTTGTAGGTAGGGATGTAAAACCGGTTACAGTACTTCACCAGTATATCGTCGAGCGGTCAGAGTGCTGTTAATAAGAACTAGAGGTGTCTAAAATTCTGGTTTATTCACTATTGCCTATAATTTCTGAATGAAAATCTGTCGTGTGGAACAAATGCTTGTTTCCTGTATCGTAACACTGAAAATTTTGACTGTTAAGTAATCCACTATAATGGAATGGAAGTCGTCTATAAGTAGTAAATCATAAAAATCAACCTCGTCATAAAACTTTTCAAGTATAAACAAAAATTCAAACGTCTCTGAAAATCTGTTCCATTCAAATTTTGATGTATCTTGATGTGGAACGAGTACCTACTTATGTTTTCTTAAAATTCTGAAGATGATAGACAGACTTAAACCTCTCTCTCTTGGTATATTATTCGACTGCTAGTATTTTCATTTTTAATAATAGATCCTAGTACGATGTTTGTCTGCATTCTGTGACCGATGACTGACTTTAAAGTTTCACTATTACTATAGTTTTCACTACATGTAGCTCTAAAATTTTGGAAGTAGTTTTCCAATGCTTCTTTTATACTTATATATTCTTTTATACTTATATAGTGCATATATTCTTTCCGCCAGTAACTAATTTTAAGAATATTATCCGATTAATAAAAGCATGGATTAACTTTTAACACTTAAAAAATTGTAGAAATTTTTATTTATAATACAGTACATACAGCTGTAAGTGCACTATTATGAACACCCTGTGCAGTCCAGATAACTGTAAGTACATCAATATTTTCTTCAGCGTTTCGTGGTAATAAATTTTTTCCGTAGGTTTTGCAATTTAAGAAAAACAATATTTCTATATAGGAAATGTATAATAGATCATTTAGTTTTGACTCACAAGTTAAAAATGTAATAAAATATGGGGCTTGCTTTAAAAAAATCATAACTTTGACATACTACATTTTTTGGGCACCAGATATATTTCAATAGAAGTTTAAAATATACCTTTGAATGACTAATATTACCGATTGGACAAACTTTAAACATGTTTATTAACGTTTAGCCTAAACGTTTTAACCTACATAAAACTTATACATCATGCCCCCGTTATGATATTTTAAGATGTATTTTAACATAAAATCCCCAGACAATAATTTTTTGGCTAAGTTATTCATGATACAGAAATTTGTAAGTGCTCCTGCTAATTTAATATTCTGTAATTGATTTTCTTACTTAAAATATACAATAATTTATTTTCTATTTATCCAATGGCTCTACAGCCCAATTCGAGACCTCACCTGTCTAATCAAACCTCTCCATTCGTAACGGTTTGTAGACATTCTGCTCAACGATCGACTGCAAAGAATATTTCTTGTGTCCTCATTCTTGCATTCAACAGTTTTTTTGGAATCATATTTTCTTCCATCCTAAGTAGATAGTTTGTCCATTGAAGACGTTGTAGGTGGACATTATATTTTAATAATAATTTATTTTAGCGGTAGCTTTATTTTTTCGGAGTAAAAACATAATTTGTTTCAAATCAAAATAAACCGTCGACGCGGAATACATCTGGAGTTTAAAATATCCCTAGTCTATATCCCATTTTTTTATATTACAAGCATTCGTTTATAAGATACTAAGTAAGCTAGTAATTGTCTTTAAACAAATACTAAACTATAAGTTTTAAGCCTAATATACTTCTAAAAACAATATGTTCGTA